CTCTCTCTCTCTCTCTCTCTCTCTCTCTCTCTCTCTCTCTCTTTCGCCTTCGTTTTCGAAAGCGTGCTCGAAAGCTAGCTTGTACGAGCTATCGTAAGGTGATCGCGACGTGATCGCGAGTGTGAAAGAAAGAAAGAAAGGAAATGGATGTGGATGAACGTGTGCGTGGCAACTTGGTGCGGGATTCATCTCGAGAAGAAGATTCTCATCCTCGACAATAGGATCTTCGGATGAAGGACGAAGACCGCACGCTGCTCGATTAATCGTTTGATTTCTGTTACAACGAAGGACGCACGACGCTACTAATGGAGCTGCTTCGTCGACTAACAAGCTTCTTCAGCTTCTTCGAGAAAGCTTCTTCTCTCGGATCCTTCTGCCAGCGAGTTTTCGCCTCGAGCAGCTTGGCGTCTCGAAGTTTTTTTTGACAAAAACTGCTTTGCCGATGATTGTAAGTAGCATGTTGATCCTCGCGTGCACGCCCCTCGCCCATCCGTCAACGAATATAAAAAGTACAACATACAAAGTATAATTACGATTCACGTTACCGCAGTCAGAGTTAAAAATGTCAGAAAATGTAACGTATGAAGGTGTTATTTATTTATAAATATATAACGGGAAACCCCGAAAAATATGAAAGTGAAATGTCGTGGTCCACTTCGCGGCAAAAATAAACCGGTTACCATCATCGAATCTGTCCGTTTACGCGTGCTATTTTCAACCGCCTAAGCGTTCGCCTAGTGAATCCGCGGCAAAAACGGTGTATTTTGGAAAGCCGAGGTCCTTTTGACGGATCGCTTTCGATGGAACGTATATATATTTATACGTTTATATACCAAGCAGCGATTTAAATGCTTGCAGGAAGATCAACGGCACGAGGAGAGACGGAACGCTTTTGCAATCATGTATTAACCGCTGCCAATTAACAACAGCTCAGCTAACGCTTCAAGAATTTGCTTTTGGATCTAACCAAAAAACGCGATGTTGTAAGTAGCACTGTCATATATCGTTGCTGCCTGTTCGACGATCGTTTGCTGAAAAAGTCCAACGTCCTCGCTCGTTCGCGAGGTTAAATAACTGCGGAGGAATCCGCTGTTGTTGTTGACCGTCGAGCATCAGCGTCTTGACGCGTTGTCATTTTGGCACTCATGGGTAACCAGAGTGCCAAAAACTCTCCAGCTGGCTATTAATATAAAGGAGGTCGAACGTAGGCCATTCAGCAACCGAATGATCGATTTTTCATGAATCGAAATGTTCCCGGTGCCCTCTGTACATAATCCTGTATATCGTTTGCGAATTCCGAAACGGCTGTGAAATATATTGGTCGTTGACCTTCGAAGCGGAGAGGTACAACAAGGTTAAGGATCAAGCTGGATCATTAATTTGAAACATCCGCGTGACGACATGGTTAATTAATACGACCGAATCGTCGATCAGTTGCAAGATGTTCATGCGAATAGTCCTAACTAAACATTACCAGGAGTATCAATTTTACTTTAACGCATCTCTTTCGTGCTAGTTGATAAATTAAATAAGATTTCCAATCGAATCTCCTTCACTGTGGCTTTTCGATTGGTGGCAGCTGAAGTGTTGGAAACAAGAGAAGAGAAAGGAGAATATTATAGGAGAATAGTCCCTATATAAGGAGTATACTAATTCTCTACTAATAATAAGGAGAATACTCCCAATATTGCTTGACAAATCCAGGAGGAACCGAAATATGCAGGATTGAGCCGCAAGATCGCGAGGTGGCGGCGACGATGATTTCGTAAAATGCTATTAATACGCGGCCAGTTAGATCGAATGTCGGTCGTCGGTGGCGGCCAAGTAAAGCCCGTTCTTCTGGGTTATGCTCGCGCTTTTTCGCCTCCTCGTCTCTCGCGGCCGCCGTCTTCTCTTCGTCGTTCCGCGCATATTTTTAGAGCCTGCCTATGGATGCTATTTCCGTAGACGCGCCGATGTGCCCCTCGTTCCTCGTCATCGCGATGCCGGACCTCCTATCATCCGCCGAATTATGACTCGGCCAGCACTCCTACAATCGTGAAAAATATGCAAGCCCTGTACCTGCGTATCCGTTCGTCTATTTTCACGGTTGAAACGATGACGAGTCGCAGCCACGCGTCATCGTCGCTTTATCACCCCGAAACGTATACAGCGGATCGTGAAAGTCCACCGGAACAAGCAATTATCCGAATTATCGTCATTTGAGCATCTCTGTTCGAACACAGGCAGGCTGAATCGAACGATTTTATTTTTAGGAGAAAGACATACTTTGGTCGATTGTTATTTCATGCTTGACGATAGTTGAAAATGAAAAGGATCTTGGAGTTAGACTTGGAGATACGTAATCGACTGAGTTTCGTATAACTAGTCAGACATAACAAGTATAATATTAATAGTTACAGAAAAAAATTTCTATCTAGAGATCTGAGATTTAGAAATATTTTCATATAACTGGAAGAATTTGATACTGTGAAAGTACGATGTAGAATACGATATATGAATTTCGTATTCGAAATTTTTTGACGAGACAGGATCGTCTCAAAGCTTGAAAAAGAATCTGTAAAATATAGAAACAATCCTCGTATCTAATACTACAAAAAGTCTCGCAAAACGTAAATAATATGTGCAAAATTCTTTCTATAATAAGCGTTCAGATATTCGATTATGAAATGAATCGTTTTGTATAAGAAGCAGAATCATTGTACCTCTTCCAGCGCAACTGCAAGGAATATATTTCTATGTGTCGTTGAAGAACGCCTATACATTCACTTTCTTCTTCTTCTTCCAATGAAAAACAATCCTCTCCTTTCAAATATAATTTCACTAACATAGAAAGAGAAGAAACTCGGAACGCTGTTCCATTAAACTGTTTCTCAAGCTCTCTGTCTCAAACTTTAAATGCGTTCGAGATGCTTCTAAATCTCTCTGAAAACGCCTGATCAAAGAGACGACTGAGGACGATGTTCGACCGATGTTCATTAAACGAAATGGAAATTTCAGCGAACTCAATAGTTTCTTGAAGGAAGCCGGCGAAAGGAAAAGGCCGCCAGCATGGACGCGATCAAGAAGAAGATGCAAGCGATGAAGCTTGAGAAGGACAACGCGATGGATAAAGCCGATGCCTGCGAGGGGCAGGCAAAGGAGGCGAATATGCGCGCGGACAAGGTGAACGAGGAAGTCGGTGAACTGCAGAAGAAACTTGCCCAGGTGGAGGGCGATCTTGAGGCTAACAAACAAGCCCTGGAACAGGCCAACAAGGATCTCGAGGAGAAGGAGAAAGCTCTGACTAACGTGAGTTGATGGCCAATGTTACCGGCAACATCTCAATCTGTTACCATCGAGAGAAAAAAATCTCACCCTGGCCGCCATTGCTCCAGTTTATCCTGCGTCCAAGTTAATCTTTCGCCGAGAAAGATTTTATTTATATTTCATCTACTCTCTGCGCAGTCCCTTCCGTTTTAAGATCGATGACTCAGCGTGACAGCAGTTCTGCCCTCCCTGTTTTGCTCCCTTTATCCGCGAAGATGCGAGGAAGCTTCAATGAGTCACGGGAACTTTCCGATTTCAGGCTGAATCCGAGGTCGCTGCTCTCAACCGAAAAGTACAACTGATTGAGGAGGACTTGGAGAGATCCGAGGAACGATTGAACACCGCCACCGCCAAGTTGGCCGAAGCCTCTCAAGCTGCTGACGAATCCAGCCGGTAAATGTTGCGTGAGGATAAAAAAAAAAAAGAAAAAAAGAAATCAATCGATGATTGAGATCGAGACAGGATTACGTTAACGAGAGTTACTGCAATTGCAGTATGTGCAAGGTATTGGAGAACCGTGCGCAACAGGATGAAGAGAGGATGGATCAGCTGACGAACCAACTGAAAGAGGCGCGTCTACTTGCCGAGGACGCCGATGGAAAATCAGACGAAGTGTCGCGAAAGCTGGCCTTCGTTGAGGACGAATTGGAGGTCGCTGAAGATCGAGTCAAATCTGGTGAAGCGTAAGTGCATCTCTACTTACAAGCAAAAACAGAGTGCAGATTTTCGCGCGAAATTTGTAATCTGTCTTATTAACAGAATCTCTCTGTTTCATTCCATTTATTTCGTATACGTGCCAAAAGTCCCAGGTGTTCTACTAATTACGTGTTTCTACTCAAATTTGCAACGTTGCAGCAAGATCATGGAGCTGGAGGAGGAGCTCAAAGTCGTCGGTAACAGCTTGAAGTCCTTGGAAGTATCCGAAGAGAAGGTGAGTTTCTCCGTGATTTGCCGGATCTCAGAGGACGATTCCGGCTCGATCGATAAAATAATCTCGCTGACTGGATTCGATTAGGCCAACCAAAGAGTCGAGGAATTCAAGCGCCAGCTCAAGACCCTGACAGTGAAACTAAAGGAAGCCGAGGCCCGTGCCGAATTTGCTGAGAAAACTGTCAAGAAGCTGCAGAAGGAGGTTGACAGGCTCGAAGGTAAACTTGCAATCTATTCGCTTTCATCTATTCCAGTACCATTTGAACAGCGTGTTTCCGTGAAAACGACAGAGATGGGTTTATGTGTTTTTTTTTTCTTTCTTTCTTTCGTGAAATATTTACTCTTATAATAATCTCTCCGAGTACTTCGAATACCGACCTTAAACGGGTGTCTGACGTAATTTGGCAAAACGACAGCAACGCTTTCGTTATCCTACTGGAATGGAATCAAAGGCTCAATTTGCCAACCTTGAACGACGTCAAACACAATTTAGTGAAAACGCTGCACACGTCGCGAAACGTATTTAATTATTAC